AGCAACCCTACACGAGGAGATACTGCAAAAGACGTGGCAGGGCCTTCGGGGGCTCCTCTGCCAGCTGGGTTCGTCTCCAGTCACTCATGACAAAGAAGTGGGTGATCTCCTAATTTGAATACTATTAAGTTTTTATTTCAAAAATTAACTTGAAGCATTGTTTGACCTGAAGCTTTGGGAGCAGTCTCTTCCTTCCTCCCGTGAGTACCAGTGGCGTACAGTTTTATTTGATGTCTGTGTTTGAAAAGTCAAGGGGATCTTTCAAAAACTGCTGGGATTTCAGGTTCCCAGACAGCCTCCATCCCTACGTTACCTTTTTATAGACCAGACCTAAGGTAGAAACCACCTTAGGATCCCAGAGTCAGAGTTAGAAGTGCTCGTCGTGAGGAGATGCAGTGATTTGAGGTGTTTACTTGGGGAGAGCCGTGGCCACCCATCATAGCACAACTCTGAGGCCAACAGGCCTGGCTGGATTGAGGCTCAGCCAACCGTGTGTTAGCTCAGAACAGGTTCCTAACTCTTCTCATTAAACGGGAACAGTAGGACAGCCCCTACCTCTGAGGAGGCAGGAGTAAAATTAAATGGGATAATGGTGACACACAAATGCTTGAAGGTTATGTGCTATTGTTTTTTTGTATTAGAAAAATGTCCTTTTAAAAAAAATTCCTTCCTTCTCTTTTCCAGTAACTTCCCTTCCAGCCTTAAAAGAGGGGGGAAAATAGTGAGGGAGGTAGAAGGATCTATATATATAGGAAGAGGGAGGGGCAAAGAACCAGTGTTCCTGGCTTTACTAGCATCACAATATAGGAATCAAATTATTTATTCCACATGTACCATTTGAGAAGTGAGTAGGAAGGCACATGGAGTTCAGTTTGCTACGAAGAATAGCTTTTAGCACTCGCCCAGCACCTGCTGGCACAGATGAGTAGGACAGAACCCTGTCTTTGAGGGTCAAACCGACTCTGAGCTTGTTCCTAAACAAGTGGCTGGGAAACAAGGGGCAGATTGGAAACCTGGGGGCCTCCACCTGAGTAAAACAGAAGTTCTCATGAAAGGCCCTTGTGGTCAGATTCACAGACCTCATCCAGTCCATCCGAGCACACAGCTTAACTTGCACATGGAACGTGTTGTGTCCCTGACAGTGGAGAGGACGGATGAATCATCATCACTGTGTAGTTCAGCGCAACAAAGCCCTGTAGTGAGCGATCTATGAAGTAACAGTTGGATCTATAAACTTAAAGCTTTGCTGTATTAAAACACAGAATCATCACCTGGTATATGTGCTCTTCTGTCTTTAACTTTTTCTTGTTCTTATCTCATGCTGGAAACGTAGTCCTGCTTTTACATCCTTTATTCTTCTGCTAGAGTAAGATCCCTGAAGGCAGGAAACGTCGTGTTCATCACTATACCACCAGCATCTAGCACAGGAACTGGCACATAGTAGCCCCTCAGTAAACACTGATTGGCTGATAAGGGGTATTATTATCTGTTATCAACTTCATTATCTGACTTGTATTCTTCGCCTCCTCTAGCTCTGGTAGCTGGTGAACATCTGACAGTGGACGCCAGAGTCTATTCCTACGCTCTGGCGCTGAAACATGCAAACACGAAGCCGTTTGAAGTGCCCTTCCTGAAGTTGTAAGGCCAAAGGACAGTCGCCTTGTTTCTGTAACCAGGACACAGGCCTCCTTCATTAAGACTTTGTATTCGGCTTAGTTTCGATGGAGATTTGAAATTAGTTTTTTCATAAAATAAAAAAGCACAGAATGCATGTGGTGGTATGGAATTGTAATTATAGGTAGATTATAGGCTTCATTTAAATGCTAGACTCCACAGCTAATATTAAAGAATAACAACATAAATGCAGGTAATGTTTAATCCAGCTTTTAAAAAAGAAAGCTCAGCTGTTAACTTTTCTACTCTAATCCAGGAGATAAGGTATTTTCATAGGAAAATAGCCCTGAATTCCAATTAGGTCAACTCTTCCCAACCCCACTAAAAAATATGTAGTGAGGTATGCAAACAACCGTTTACGGCATTAGAGTTTTTTTTAAAAGACAGACAGACCTATATAGGGACTTTCTTGGCCTCTCCTAATTATCTGCTATATGGAATTAATCTGCATAGCAGAGGATATAAAAGAGAATAACATTCGTAATAAGCAAATGTTTCCAGTTAGCTAGTGTCCTTATAGCCATCTAACTACTGGAGGGTGACCAGCTCTTATGTAATGAAAAACGGTCGATTCATTCACGTACCAAGGTTCAGAGGCTAATGAAAATACAGGGCCCTTGCCTCAAGCACGTGTATATGCTTCAGAATCTCATTTCCTATCCTTACTTCAAAAAGTACTTGAAGTTTCTAAAAACCAAACCCATAGTAATAAGACTTACATGGTTTGGGGCACTGTCTTGGTGTTAAACCGTGAGTGTAGCCAGCACAGTTAGCAAGGACCAGAAACCCAATACAAGCTTCTTTAAAGGAAAATATGGATTGTTCCTGGCTCATGCCATGCCCAAACTTCCCCTGCCCCCAATCCTCAAGGTCCACCAGCGTCATCGGCCATTTTCTTACCTCTTGAGCTTGGCTGCTGTGTGGACTTCTGTAGCCTCCGAGGCTCCAGGATTACTGCCTCTTTGGTGTAGAAGTCTCTGGATGGTTCTCATTGGCTACCCCTAAGTCATGTTTCCAGCCCTGGACCAGGGGTTAGCCAGGCCCCTCAGAACCAGATAAGATCAGGGGACTAATGCCAAAAAGGCTGCAGTACAGTTTGCTTGTCTGCAGGTTCACTGTCTTACCTAGAGATATTTTTATGAACAAAAATAGATCTTTATATTGTACTTCCTAAAAAGAATGGAAAGAATCATGCAACTAGAGAACTGTATAGATGAAATCTACTCTCCCTGTGAGTACTATGAAAATTTAGCCCCAACTAGTTGCTCTAATAGTAGCCTTCCCCTGTGCCTCTTAAATCCTTATTTTTAATCATGGGCATCATGATTCTCCAGGGACTGTAATCCTCTTCCCTGAGCACCCAAGGCCCTCGTTACTGCTCTTCATCAAAATCAAGAGACGCCAAAGCATACAGAGAATGCACAGGCTCAAGCACACAGACTAGTCTCCAAACAGCCTCCAACTCTTGCAAAACCACTCCCCATGCCAAATGATAAAGCTACGCAAATGCTGATGGAGGACAGAGATTTGTAACCCCTGCGTGTCCTTTCTGCCTTCTTCTTTTCCTAAGAGTGCAGTTCAGAAGTGACACCTAAATCCTAGAACATCCCCTAATGCAGTTTATGTTCTCTGCATATATCAAAGGCTCTGCTTTGGAAATTCGGTCAGTTTGAGAACTGGCAGTCTGGATGTTTTCACTGGCTGGCCCTATTAGTGTATCAGTATTTAAACATTGAAGGTTTATTAGTACTTTTTTGAAGGTTTATTATTAAAAGCTGTATTTCCACCTTCTTTGGGGAAAAATAGCTGTAACACTGGGTTGTATTTCCATGGTAACAGTGGTCTAAGGCCCTCAGGAGATGCTCTCCAGTGGACATGGCTACTCTCCTGCCTGCCTGTATTTTCTCTGCCTTCCTCCTGAAATTAGTTGGCTTTGTGATCCTAAGCTAAATAAGATACACTTCCTGCACTAAGAAAGTAAACAATGATAGAAAACCATATGAATGAGAAGGACTTCTTTGAAAAATTAAGTTTGATCTTTTTGGGCAATAAAGCACATACTTTGAAAAATGAATTAGGGAATTCCCTGGCGGTCTAGTGGTTAGGACTCTGTGCTTTTACTACAAAGGATTCCTGGTCGGGGAGCTAAGATCCCATAAGCCATGCACCACAGCGCCACCACCCCCCCCCCAAAAAAAGAATTATTTATAAAGAACTGTGCTATTTCAAATGGAGGCTAGGATACTGTGACCATTTTTTTTTCTGGTCTTTCCAAATGTTAGTCACAAAACTGAGTACCCTTTTATTAGCCACTGTCCCTCAATATTTTTAGGATTAAACTAATACATTTGCAATAGGTATCTCAGGATGGATTCTGTATGAATATAATGAACCTATATAATCTTAGAAATCATTTAATACTAGATTTTATTTTTCCAACACAACCAAAAGTTTTATTAAATAAAATTTTATTGTCTACTGTTTACACTCATGTTGCTGCTATAAAGTACAACAACATACACAGATTCCTAGCATGAATTACTCATTGTTCACCCCCACTGAACTACAGACATTGCTTGAGAATTAGATCTTTGCTTTAGGGATTAAAAAAAAAAATTGGGGCATAGTATCTTGAAGAGTATTCTCAAGTGACGTGTTGGAATTCCAAGGCATAGCCAATACAGTAAAACAGCACCGACTGTGCTGTCCCTGGGAGGAAAGGGGAATGGAAAACAGGCAGAGTAATTATAAGCAGTTGTTTCTTGTGACAGATTTGACTCTGAAAGCTTGATTCTGCTCATCTGGCCTAAGTGGCTGCTTTGAGGAGGAACAAATAAAATGGGGGAGGGTGGGAATGTGGATACTACGAGTTAAAAAAGTATAAAAAGTAATTATATCTAAAATGTAGATTAGATATAAATGATCCAGAACTCATTAAATAAGCTCAAAAATACTGGAAAGTGGCAATTTGAACTACATTTATTTTTAAACAAGTGGGGGGAATACTGAGTGTCTTGAATGTTGTGTGCAAAACTGATCCACGTCACCATCTCACCGTCACAACCGAACACGGCAAGGCGTGTACATTGGTTTCCAGCATCACAGGCAACACTGCATGTAGGTTTTTTAATGAATAATGTAAACTTTAATGTTAAGGCAGCTGGTACTAATGCTGCACACAGGCTTAGCTCCGTGCCCATTTCAGGAATGAGACGGTCAACACTTGAAAACAAACTGTGAGAGAAGAAAAGGGGAGCCAGCATTATCTGACAAAAACAATGAGTCAAAATATTTTCTCTTTCACACACACAAAAATACTGGAACATTTAGAAAAACAAAGCACCCATCCCGCCAACTTCAGCCTGTTCCTTAACAAATATTTCAAAATACTGATAAATAATGGTGACCGCAAGCAGAATTCCAGTGCCCGAGCCAATGGCCCCGAGGAAGTCGGCCAACACCGACAGGGCGCCGATGCACAAGCCCCCAAACGCAGCCGCCGTGGGGATGTACCTGGAAGACAAAACCCCGAGTCAGGCAGGGGAGGCCCACAGGAAGGGGCAGCAGGAAGCAGCAGTAACAGGCGGAAGAAAATTGAACTAACGCACCAGGGAACTGTCCACAGTACTGACGATTCGTCCAGGGCTGTGCACAGTTATGTGTTGATGAAAATGATGAAAGGAATGATCTGACTCAAGAAATGATCTGATTTCACGAAACCCGTTAATAGCCAAGAAAGGCAATACATGATTTTTACAGCAAAAGAGGAGAATCCTCAACTGTGATTTAAGTATTGGAATGTTTAATATTGTTTGTAAGTGGGTAACCTTTAGCTCCCTCTTGTAGATGAAGAGTAAATATCAAAATGCTTTCTAAGTATCAAATTTATGTGACAAGATTTGGATGACCCTATTCAACAGTAATTCAACCTTGGCCACATGTTAGTATCACCTGGAGAACTGTTAAAAATAATGGGGTTGTATTTAAAATACTCCAGAGGGGGAAAAAAGATGGGGGCGAGGGACCATGGATGGGGAAGACAGTAGATGAAACTAGAATGGGGGGAGGATAACGACTAAAGCTGGATACGGGTGGACGCAGGGGTTCATTATACCACTCTGCAATCTATTCCATGTTGTAAATAAAAAGTTTAAAATACCAATGCCTTTTCAACAAATGGTTCTGGAACACTTGGCTATCCACATGGAAAAGAAGGAATCAGGACCCCTATCTCACATGAAACAAAAATGAGCTCAGAGTTGTCACAGACCTAAACATAAGAGGATTAATCTTTGTGACCCTGGCTTCTTAGATACAACACCAAAAACGGCACAAAGAAACCAGAGAAGAAATAGAAAAACTGAACATCAAAATTAAAAATTTGTGCATCAAAGGACACCATCAAGAAAGTGAAAAGACAACCCACAAAATGGGACAAAATATTTGCAAATCATTTACCTGATGAGATACATCCAAAATATTTTTTTACCCTTATAAACAGTAATAAAAAGACAACCCAATTAGAAATTTTAAATGAGCAAAAGAGACATTTCTCCAAAGAACATATTTGAATGGCTAATTACACATGAAAAGATGCTTAACATCATTACTCATCAGGGAGACGCAAATCAAAACCACAATGAAAAGGGAAAAACCACAATGAGATACCACTTCATACCAACTAGATGGCTAAAATCAAAACAAGAATTAGTGCTGGTGAGGACGAGCAGCAGCTCCAGACACTGCAGCTGCATGCAGAATGGGGCAGCTGCTCTGGAGAAGGGTCTGGCAGTTCCTCAACACATTCAACACAGTTACTACCCAACCCAATAGTTCCACTCTGAGAGAAATGAAAACATATGTCCACACAAAACCTGAACAAGTACGTTCACAACAGCATTATTCATGACAGCCAAAAAGTGGAAACAACCAAAATTTCCATCAACTGATGAATGGATAGACAAAATGTGGTACATCCATACAAGGGAATATTATTCACAAATAATGAATGAACCCCAAAAACATCATGCTACGTGAAAAAGGTAGTCACAAAGGATCACATATAACTCCATTTATATGAAATGTCCAGAACA